CCCCCCAGGATGGATCCTGCTTCCCTTGGATCCTAACCCTGACCCCAGGGATGGATCCTGACCCTCAGGGCTGGATCCTGAAGCTCCCTAGATCCTGCTCCCCCTGGCTCCCCTTCTCCTGCTCCTCACCGCACGTTCTTGAGCATGAAGAGCACCTCGGAGGGCAGGTGGGAGCTGCCCATGTCGAACTCGCTCAGGTCGGCCTCCAGCAGCACCGGCGACGGCTCCTTCATCTGCAGCTTGGGCAGCTCCTTCTGCATGTGCAGGAACCTTGGGGACAAGGAGGTGGCACCAGCTCACTCTGGGTGGGTTGGGGGGGGTGTCCCCTTGTGTCCCCATCCCTTGGCACCGGTGGCTCCTCACTTCCTGGCCAGGTTGAACATCCTCAGCCTCCTCTTCATGCGCGGGCGCGAGGCGCTGGAGATGGTCGTGTCCATCAGGGACGACGTGGATTGGGACACCTGCGGTTGGGGACATGGAGGTGGTGCTCAATGGGGACACCATAAAGCCACCACCACCCTCCACCCCCCCTTGTTGTCACCTTAATGTCACCTTGCGCATGATCTTGCGCCCGTAGAAGAGCATCTTGTCCCGCTTGCGGAAGCGGTACCTCGGGGACTCCTGCTCCAGGGCTCCTGGGGACACTGGTGGGAACAGGTCAATGGGGACCATCCCCCCCCTGTCCCCAAGGCCACCATAGTGGGGACAGGTCAATGGGGACCATCACCCCCCTGTCCCCAAGGCCACCATAGTGGGGACAGGTCAATGGGGACCATCACCCCCCTGTCCCCAAGGCCACCATAGTGGGGACAGGTCAATGGGGACACTGTCACCCCCCTGTCCAAGGCCACCATAGTGGGGACAGGTCAATGGGGACCATCACCCCCCTGTCCCCAAGGCCACCATAGTGGGGACAGGTCAATGGGGACCATCACCCCCCTGTCCCCAAGGCCACCATAGTGGGGACAGGTCAATGGGGACCATCACCCCCCTGTCCCCAAGGCCACCATAGTGGGGACAGGTCAATGGGGACCATCACCCCCCTGTCCCCAAGGCCACCATAGTGGGGACAGGTCAATGGGGACCATCACCCCCCTGTCCCCAAGGCCACCATAGTGGGGACAGGTCAATGGGGACCATCACCCCCCTGTCCCCAAGGCCACCATAGTGGGGACAGGTCAATGGGGACCATCACCCCCCTGTCCCCAAGGCCACCATAGTGGGGACAGGTCAATGGGGACCATCACCCCCCTGTCCCCAAGGCCACCATAGTGGGGACAGGTCAATGGGGACCATCACCCCCCTGTCCCCAAGGCCACCATAGTGGGGACAGGTCAATGGGGACCATCACCCCCCTGTCCCCAAGGCCACCATAGTGGGGACAGGTCAATGGGGACCATCACCCCCCTGTCCCCAAGGCCACCATAGTGGGGACAGGTCAATGGGGACCATCACCCCCCTGTCCCCAAGGCCACCATAGTGGGCCTGCAGAGGGACAGGGGTGTCCCCAAGGTGTCCCCAGGGGCACGGGGACAAGTGGGAGGGGGTGATTGGTGGCTCTGGCACCACGGTGACATGGAGGCCTTGGGGGATACGGGGAGACGTTTGGGGCGCTTCAAGGGGTGCTCAACAGCAGCAGGGACCTGCCGCCATCCCTTGGGGACACGTTAGGGTCCCCTGGCTGGGTCCTCACCGTGGAGAGCTGCTCCTTAGTGAAGAACAGGGACATCGCCGCCACCACGGACTCGTCCTGCAGGGACATGGGGACACCCTGGTGACACCCCATGGGGGTGACTGTCACCCCCCG